CAAGTCTCACGTATCTACCCCCTTATTCAAGGTAAGGGGTTTGGCGACCACTTGTTCCCAATCTGGGGTCTCCACGCCTTTCTCTTCCCGACGCGTTGGGGACGGAGGTGGGGATGTCTGTGTGTGAAGGGTTCTCTTTGAGAGCGACGGCACTCCCACTAAGGCCTCCACTTTGGGGGCCTCACAGTTCTTAATGCTGTTTTTGTTATTGTCGAGGAGGTTTTTTTAGCACTGCAATTGGAGCAAGTGCAGAGACATACCACTGCCCTTCTCATAGCAAAAACGGCAGGCCACTACTCTCTTCCATCAAGCAGGGGGTTGGACTTCATGGCCTTATAGGCCCCTTCTAACTTCACTATTCTATGATTCTGTAATTCTATGATCATTGCACGGCCTTTTATACTTCTGCTTGCAGCCGCATTAACCTGCGCTCCAGTCCACTTTTGTATGGGTTTTCTAGCGATAGTGTGATGCCATTAGCCCACCAAGTGGTGTGGTGCAATTGTGGCATTAACTTATTTTGGTATCCCATTTCTCCTCTAGGGAGCTCAAGGTGGCAAAAATAGTTCTTCCACTTCCTCTATTTTTATCCTGACAACAACCTTATGATGCTTGGCCCAAGCCACTCAGTGAGTTTTATAGCTGAGTGGGTCATTCTAATCTTAGCATTTTGATTGTCTGTACCTTTGTCACAAAGAACAAGTTCTCATGAAGTTTAAGAATCATGATGGCCTCAGGCACCCAAATGTCTCTTGTCCAGGGAACCAAGATCTGCTAGATAGGTCCAGCTTCATTGTGGCGTGAATACATGATAAGCCAGTGCAATCATTTTGTTCAGTCTTTTCCCCTGCTGATGTCCTGGTGGCATGAGGAGGGGGTAGTAGTAGGGATTTTGCCGTTTCATTGCTTTCCAAATTTGCTGTCAGCAGTGGCACTGTTTACTACTATGAGCAGGGCTTGAAAATTTTTAGAATATCTCATCAGTCAGTCAAAAATTCCACCAGTCAGCATGACCAGACCATAGTCCTGCAATTTATGTTAACAAATTTAAACTAGGCACTTTTTCACTTTTATTTCTATGTAACAATATGTGCAAACCCAAAATAAATTGTATTACGTACGTGGGAATTACTGATTTATATCCTCAGACTTGGGTTGCTTTATTACTTGCGTGCCTGTGGGGACATGAAGCTTGTATTTTGAAGGCCTTTCTTTTGAATGTCTTCAGCAAAAATAAAACTGAAAGCAAAAGTGCCTGTCCGCTTAAGGAGCCACGGTTCCCTCCCACCCTAGGATGTGTCCTCGTTCGGTTGAAATTGGGAGCAGGAAATTTCCATATTCTCCAGCATGGGGCTACTCTACATTCTCCTGCAGAGTTATATCTCTATGTGCCTCTGGAACTCTATTCTTTCAAGAAGAGGGCAGTTTTCCTTTTGCAATAGGAGGGGGTGGGGAGGACTGCAGGATTAGAGAGAGAGAGGCTTGTGGAGCAGCATTTTTCACTGGTCACAGATGAGTGGATGAGTGCGTTTTTCAAGCCCTATGAGAGAGGTAATCATGTCATTTAAGAGTATGATTAGAGATGGGGCTATTCATATACAAATACCCTACGCAGGTGGAGATAGTGAGGGTCCAGCCCCATGGGGCCAGATGGTCCACTCACCAATGCACTAATCCTGTGGGATCCACGCTGCCGTCCTATCACTCTGGAGATCGCAATTGCTGAGCCACTCTTCAATCTGGCAGAGAAGCTTGTCGTCCCACCTCCTGCCAGGAACTGCTCGATTATCACGATCTCCGGAGCGGTAGGATGGCAGTGTGGATCCCGCGGGCTCTGTGCATCAGTGAGTGGACTGTCTGGCTCCATGGGGCTGGACCCCCATTATCTCCACCTGTGTGGGGGTATTCGTATTTGCATACAAATGCGAATACCCCCATCTCAGTATGATCCATCACTTCATTCAGTGAATGTAATGTCAGTGGTATTGGTTTTCATTGATATGAAAACTCATATCATAGTTGAAACAGTGTTAACGTCAAATATTAAGAAAAACATGTTGAACTATCTGCTGTAGATTTTAATAAAACTTTGTAGGTTACAATATTGTTATTATTGCTTATTTAATTTAATTTGATTTGACTTGAATTAAATGTATTCTGTGCCCAAGTGAAATATGATGACTGAAATCCTGTTGCTTAGTGTAAGAACATTTGTAACTTTCAGTCCATTCCTAACTGACAAATGAAAGAGTTCTTGCTGCAATTTGTGTGGGTGTATGCATGTACTGATTGGTATGAGCACATGTACCCTAAGAACAGTGGCGGGAATTTTATTTGCCAGTTACGAATAGACTGCAAGTTACGAATTTTCTAAGCAACAAGATTTGAGTCAATACATATTTAAAAGAAACAGCTCTAGTACAGTGGTGCCTTGCAAGACGAGTGCTCCGTTTTTACGACGAAATCGCATAACAACGAAGTTTTTGCGATTGCAAAAGCAATCATAAAACGATGTTTCCTATGGGGGAATTTCGCTTTGCGATGATTGGTTCCCTGCTTCGGGAACCGATTCTCGCAAAACAACGATTTTCCTACAGCTGATCGGCGGTTTCAAAATGGCAACCGGATAAACAAAATGGCCGCCCGCTGCTTTCTGGGATGGATTCCTCGCTGCACGGGCAGCGAAAATGGTCGCGCTATGGAGGATCTTCGCTGGACGGTGAATTTCAAGCCCATAGGAATGCATTAACCGGGTTTTAATGTGTTTCTATGGGCTTTTTAATTTCGCTTGACGATGTTCTCATTCTACAGCAATTTTGCTGGAACGAATTAACATCATAATGCGAAGCACCACTGTATATTGTTTGTAAACTGTGATGCTGGAGTTTCTTTCTGAGGAATATATTGAGAGACTGTGATATGAAAGAACATGTTTCAGGGGTATGTAGTGCATAGATTCTGTTTACCTGCTTCTGTTTACCTCTTTGCCCCTACTAAAACATCAAAATCCTGTGTCACCGAAATTCACTGACATAGCACTGTAAAAACTACTGCATTAGAGCCCTCCCAGTCTAATTAAAATAACTATAACCCTTTTAACTCCTGTACAATGAAAACTTCCTTGTTACTCCCCTGTCCCCCTTTGTTTCTCTTTATTTTTCATTTCTGGAAATATCACTTTACTTACTGGTAGTCACTCTTGCAATTAAGGACCTGTCCATACGGGCATATAGTGTATGGACTGCTGTTGATACAGTTTGGTTTGAACCAAATGATGGCATTCACACATGTTTCTACATAGCTCAATCCATGCTTTCCCTTTAAGAGCTATTGTGTAATTCTCTGACACACCACTAGGGCATGTGTTCTTTTGGTGTGATTCAGTATGGTCCTGATCAGCTTGTTTTGTAGCCTGTGTGGATGATGAGTTTGTACTCAAATGGAGTTGTGGGCAGCATTATCAAAGATGACAATTCTGTGATGTAGTAGTTGGCCTGTGATATTAAAAGGCAGGATGGAGAAATCCTCTATTTTAATTACCTTTTAATATTTCTCTTACTGATGCAGTGGAATTCTACCATACTAGGTGGATGCAGTTCTCTTTTCTTATGCTTATAAGAATATACGTAGGTCAGGAATTTATAATCCGTACCACAACCATCAAAAATCCTTTCATACATAAATCCATTTCCTTCCCCCTCTTACTTTTTAGTAACCTAACTGTGATGGGTGTTGTGAAGAAGCATTGTAATTGTTCTTGTTGTTAGATAGTATTAGAAGTATACTTTATTGTTTTATAGTCCAAGAGGCTATACGCAAGAGCATAAATTAAATAAGTCTTTAAAATTGTAATTATATAATTTTGAGTCTGAAAACTCTGCCTATCTACTTGATGTCGTGCAGAGAACTTGTAAAAGTTCTTGATATATCTTGATATCTCTTAGCTAGCAGGACAATCTTTGTCCAAAGTCCTTCTCTTCTGATGCAACAGATATTGCTTAAGCAGTTACTGGCTGAATTCCTGTTACTTTGTATAGTAGTAAATCACACTGGATTAAGATAACTTGAATCATTGAGGATTGGGTGAGTCAACTCAGAGTTGCCCAGAGACCTTTGGGTAGTGTGGGCGGCATATAAATTAATTAAATAAATAATAATAATAATAACTCCCTAGGTTCCATTGATTCAAAAGGTCTACTCTAGTTGTGATTTACTATACTGAAGTAAATTGCAATTTAAGTAGGACCATTTAAATCAACGCAGATTGTGGAAGAGCTGAATCACCATGTCCCTACTGATTCAGTGGGCCTACTCTAGTCAGTCTTTCTATGCTAAACAACAGGTTTTCAGCCACTGTATCCATTATGAGGATTGCAGAATTGCTTCTTTTCAAAAGGTAGCATATGGTAGGTTTCCATTGTGAAAAGAGTCCACTCTTTGGTATTTCTATGGTTCTGGTAGATTCGATTATTTTGAATTTTATGCACTTCTCTGAGAATCAACATTCCAGTTTGTTTACAAATTGATATATTTACTACTGTCATTAAATTATTTTCTCCAAAGCTTTTTAAATTATTTATAATTGCTATGAATTTTTAGTAACAGATTTTTAAAAAAGTATGTGTTAGAACTATTTTTATCCAAAGTACTGAACACTGGCAATTAACATTTTCTTGCAATAAACATGTTGATGACCTTTTTATCATAAAACTTTACAAAATACTGTATAGAGCAAACTAAAAAATCATATGTGTTCTTATATTAATGTGTATGTGTTAAGTTATATATACCTTGTTCTTATATTTTAAATTGTTTATATTATATGTTGTTAGCCGCCCAGAGTAGTCAGTTGACTAAATGGGTGGGGTATAAATTCAATAAATAAATAAATTGATGGCACATTATTTAATAATAATAAATATGCAAACTTTATTATGCAAGTATAGTGCATGTGTTTTGGGGCCTTATTTTATTGAAATATTTGTATGTGTTTTCTCTAGTGGACCAACTATATCCATGGGTGGCAGGACCGCTGGGTGGTCTTGAAAAACAACACTCTAAGTTAATACAAGTCTGAAGATGAGACAGAATATGGCTGCAGGGGCTCAATCTGCTTGAGTAAGGCTGTCATTACAGTAAGTGTTGTCTTAAAGATTCTTTAACTTGTTACTCTAGTTCTTTAGATGTATTTCCAGACAATTTTTGTACAGGAAAGCTGAGAAAATACTATGTGAAAACCGTGAATATATTTAATTGGTCACAGGTAGGTAGATTACCTGCTTCTGAACACTTGGAAGTTGTTGCACACTGCAGGATTCTGCTAGGCATGGTCCAAGCCATAATGTTTGCATAAACAGCAGAACTGTGCTTGTAGCCAGACTTTCATTTTATTTGGTGTAGCAGTTCCCATTACTGTACTAGACAAGCTGCTGCTGTTCAAAAAGTGGCTTGTCTCCTTGGCAGCAAGAACACTGCACCAAGAACAAACAAGCTGTAGCTGTACATGCAGTTCTCCCACATGCATATTGAGTCTCTTGAGTCTGGACTGGTCAAGACAAATTTTTATATTCCCATGCCATATTTTAAGAAGCATTTGGTAAAGATAACTGAGGTCTGAATCATACATTACCAACAGTAACATGAGACAATCATTGGCACATGAGTGTTTTCATGCAGATCTGCTGATATATCAGGAAGCAGTCATGTAGTGCCTGGTCATGTGGTTACCTTGTATCTGAGTGTTGTCTTGCGATGGGAGCCAGCAATACTGACACAGAAAGTGATAGAGGCTTTTTCCATGTCCCCAAAATACCTTTCTTGATCTGTTGTGTGATCAACACCAGCTCTTTCCTGTTCTCAGAATAAAATAATGGACCACAATGCAGCAGTGCTCAGGCTTTCTGCTGATTTTGGACTGAATCCACAAGGTACCTTCACAGGAGTCTTTTCTGCCTGTTTTGGGATGTTTTTCTCACATCCCATTCAGCAAGGTTTCCTGTCTGTCTGTGTGGCATTTTCAGAGAAGCAGAGAGACAGGATCCACTTCTTTCAGTCCAGTGGCATACACCTACATTTGAATTCCACTCTTGTTTTAAAATTTCAGGTGTATCAATTGAGAAGGCAAGATGATGCAAAAAAAGTGCAGTTACAAAGAGTATTGACTATACAGTACATCAGAATTGTGTTTAGTATAATTGGCTCCAACTGTGATGAAGCCAGATGCTATATTTAGGAGGAAATATAAATATGAAGACTTTGACAGACGATTTGTATCTATCTTGATATTCCTTGACATCAAGTGAATGTTAGGTAGCAGTGATGTTCTCGTAGATTCTCATTACTTGTAAGTCATTCTGAGAACAGCCACTTGAGTCAGCTATTGGAGGGAGATAAGCAATATATGGCGTCTCAAAATGGTTTCCCTTGCAAATACATTTTCAGAGTGATAAATCTACCTTTTATAAATAAAAGAGGTTACATGAAGAAGCTGAAGGAGAAAGCTCCCTTGAGAAATTATAGCTCCAGAAAGACAACTATCGTATTTTTTTCTCCATAAGACGCACTCCCCCCCCCAAAAAATGGGGGGAAAGTCTGTGCGTCTTATGGAGTGAAGGCCACGATTTCGCCCCCACTGGCCCTGTGGGGGCGAGCGTCGCAAGGGTCCGAATGAGCCTTCCAGGACCTTTGCGACGCTCCCCCACCCCCACAGGGCCAGTGTGTGCAAATCACCACCTTCTGGGAGTCTTTTGAGGCTTGGGAAGCTTCAGAAGACTCCCAGAAGGTGGCAATTTTGCCCCCTCTGACAGCCGGGGGGGCAGGGTGAGTCTCTAAAGTGTCCTAAGGTGTGTTCCATAAGATGGACCTCTCCATAAGGCTCACCAATTTTTAGGAGAAGAGAACAGATTATTTTTTTCCTGTTTTCTTCTCCTAATAATGTGGTGTGTCTTATGGAGAGGTGTGTCTTATGGAGCAAAAAATACAGTACTTTTATGGAACCATGCAGTAGTCTAGTTATTTACTTATTTAGTTACTGAATTTGTACCCGGCACCAATATGGCAACCAGGCGACTCTGGGCAGCTAACAACAGTATAAACTACAAACAGTGGTGCCTCGCATAATGAGCGCACCGTTTAACGACGAATCCGCATAGCGATCTATGTTTTAGATCACTAATGCGATCGCATTGCGATGTTTTAATGGGTAAAACATTGCATTGCAATGATCGGTAAGCGTTTCACTTACCGATCTTCGCATTGCGATGTTTCTAAAACAGCTGATTGGCGGTTCCAAAATGGCCGCAGAGTGCCCAAAATGGCCGCTGCAACCATTTTCGCACCCTGCCCTCGCTTACCAAGGGCGCGAAAATGGCGTCGCTATGGAGGAACTTCGCTGAACGGTGAGTTTGGGCCCCATAGGAACGAATTAAATGAAGTTTAATGCATTCCTATGGCTTTTTCCGTTCCGTTTAGCGATGTTTCCTCATAGCGACGATTAATCCGGAACGGATTAACATCGCTATGAGGGGCACCACTGTATTAAAACACGATAAAATAAATAAATTAATACAAGCCACAGGATAAATCAAACCATATGGCAATAAAGATGGTCAAAAGGGTGATGGAGAGGATGAGAAAAAGGATGGTAAAAGGGAGGCTGAGATCATAATACTCCAGGAAAGCCTGATGGAAGAGCCAAGTCTTCAATGCTTGTTTAAACCCATCCAGCAACTGTGCCATGCAGATCTCAATGGACAGGTTGTTCCATGGGGGGGGCAACCACTGAGAAGGCCCAGTTTCTTGTTCTTTCCCTCCAGGCCTCCTTCGGAGTCAAGGTTCTCAACCTTGATCCCCGCCTGTGAAGAACGGGTATAACGGACAGATCTCGCTGGGTACAGGCATTCTGATAGGTACCAAGGTCCTAACCATTTTGGGCTTTGAATGTTATCATAACCTTGAAGTCGATGCAGAAATGAACTGGTAGCCAATGAAAGGCGGCCAGATGGGGGAGATGTGCTGGAATTTCTTCATCCCGGTTATTAGTATGGCCGGCGAATTTTGGACCAGTTGAAGTCTCTGCATCAGCCTCAAGGGTAGCCCCATGTAGTAAGCACTACAGTAGTCTATTCTTGAGATTATGAGGGCATGAATCAGCTTCATGAGTGCCCCCATGTCTAGATAGGAATGCAGCTGGGCAATCCTCCAAAGATGGAAATGGGCTGCCCGGACCACAGATGCCACCTGGGTGTCCATGGTGAAATCCGGGTCTAGGCAGATGACCAAGCTGCAAACCTCACTCTTTGTGGGAAGAGTCACTCCCCCAAAGGAGAGGGAGTTTCCCAACCCACTGGTGCCAGGGCCGCCCACAGGCAAAGTATCTGTCTTGTACAACCTCAGTCCATTTGCCCTCATCCACTTCAGAACGGTCCCCAAGCAGCGTTCAGGGGTCAGAACAGCATCCATTAGAGTTGGAAAAAAAGGAGAGATAGAGCTGGGTGTCATCAGCGTACTGATGACACCGGGCCCCACAACTCCAGATGACCTCACCCAGCGGCCTCATATGGATATTAAATAGCATTGGCAAGATGATTGACCCCTGTGGAACCCCACAATTGAGGATCCATGGGGTAGAAGTCATCTTGACAAGCTGCATTCTCTGGGGACAGTCTTCCCCATGCCAAAGTGAAGCCACTGATTCCCAATTTGGAGATCCGCCCCAGGAGAATACTGTGATCAATGGTATCAAAGACTGCTGAGATATTGAGGAGGACCAAGAAGGATATATTGCCCCTGTTGGCCTCCCTCAAGAGGTCATCCTGCAGGGCAACCAATGTTGTTTCCTTACCGTGGCATGGCCTGAAGCCCGACTGGAATGGATCAAGGGCATCAGTTTCCTCCAGGAGGGCCTGGAGCTGATTGGCCACCACCCTCTCGACCACTTTGCTCAAGAAACAAAGGTTGGCAATGGGCTTATAATTCCCTATTTTGTCTGCTGCCAAATTAGGTTTCTTTCGAATGGCTATTGTCTAATTTGCATTCTCTAGGACTGTCATGTTCCCATGTGGCCCCTGATTGTTTCACCAAACTAAGAACTCATGCTACATGTCTTTCAGCTGCCACTAGTTGATTACATCAACATGGTTTATTGTTAATCATAGAAGTCCAGGCAATGTGTCATTTTTAAAAGAACCAATAGATTTTTTTTAATTTTTTGTTTGTTTAAGTTTGTTTTAGGAGGGGAAACTTAATGGTTTGCCCTCATAAACAAATGAAGGTGTCATGATCCCCACGTGGCCCCTGCTTGTTTCACCAAACTAAGAGCTCACGCTACATGTCTTTCAGCTGCCATCAGTTGATTACATCAACATTATCTATTATTAATGATAAATGTCCAGGCCATATGTCATTTAAAAAGAACAGAATAGAAATTTTTTTATTTTTACAGATGTAGATACTTCAAACAATGTTAACTCTTAACAAACATCCTCCTTCATCCACTCTCAACCACTTCTCCTGCCCAAACTCCCCAAACTCTTCAACTCTCTTTCCCAAACTCAAAACTCCCTATCTAAACTCCCATTCCTCCTGCTGAGTTTCTTATATCTCATGACTCCGCCCCTCCAGCACTCCCATTGGTCTATGCAAATAGTATATGAATAGTCATTATCTGGGCGGATGCCACATTCTTCCCCCCTTAAGTTTATTTTAGGAGGGGAAACTTAACGGTTTGCCCTCATAAACAAATGAAGGTTTAAGGAAGGATACAAACACTAACTTTTTACATCACTTACATTACCAAGGTTACATTATATTCCTGTTATATTAATAAAGATATATTAACCTCGTACGTTACTTACATTAATAAGGATACATTACTTACATTAATACGAATTGCATTACTTTACTTTTACATTAATAAGGATACTTACCGTGTTTCCCCAAAAATAAGACCGGGTCTTATATCAGTTTTTGCTCAAAAAAGCATTAGGGCTTATTTTGGGGGGATGTTTTACTTTTTTCATGAACAACAATCTACATTTATTTAGTTACCATCATTTATTTTATTTATTATTATTAATTTATTCCCGTTCTCCTTCCCCTTCTTTAAAATGTACCTGGTGCAACTTCCTCCAGGTGT